CAGGGTACTTTAAGGGATCTCTGTTAAAATTAAAAAAAAAGCGTGACATAGTGACCAAGAATCGCGCAATATTATAGAAAACAACAACGTTGTTGTCGATAATTAGTTATTAGTATGTGCATGAACTATGTAGTCATCGAATAGTTAATATTAGTAATATTAATACGAATGCGTATGAACTATGTAGTCATTGATTAAAATTACCATGCGCATGAATTATGTAGTCATATCAATTAGTTAGTAAATTAGTATGTGTATAAACTATGTAGTCATTGAATAGTTAGTAATAGAAGTATCGATGAACCAAGGTATAAAAGCCGTAACAAATCTTTACTGTACAAATCAGTCTGTTCAACGTAAATAAACTATTTGTTTTGCTTAAGCTTCCCGTCCTGGCCTCGCCATTACAGTTTGAACAGACTAATTTTTAAAGAAAACCTTGCCCTCAACCTCCTTGCCTTGTTATATTTAATCCCAAATAAATAATAATAAAAAAAAAAAAAAAAAAAAAAAAGAAGAGAAAAAGCAGAAGCAGTTCAACGGCCCCATACCCTATCAATTAATAATAGACGGCCATCTGGATTTCAACACAATACTAACCGCGTTAAACCAACTTCAGTTAGACAACCAAACCCTTCACCAAAAAAATGCAGAACTTAAAGATACTCTTAATCAATTTCACACCCAAGAAGTTGACAATAATTATAAGGAGCCCAAAGTAAGCCTCCCGGATAAATTCGATGCCATACGAAGTAGATTCAGAGGATTTCTGAACCAAATTCGCCTTGTTATACAGATGCAGCCAAACTGTTATCCTGATGATCATACACAGGTGGGCCTCCTTGGAAGCTTGTTAACTGGATCGGCTTTAGCTTGGTTCACACCTTTGTTAGAAAAGCAATTTGAGCTTCTAGAAGACTTCAGAGAACTGGTCAAAGAGTTTGAGGCAATGTTTGGCGATGCTGACAAGTCGAGGATCGCCGCTAACAAGATACGAAAACTTGTCCAAGGATCTAGGCCAGTCTCAAACTACGCTTCTGAATTTAGACAGATTGCTAGCGACCTGGACTGGAGTGAAGCAGCACTGGTCAACCAGTTCAGAACCAGGTTACAAGATGATGTAAAAGATTTACTTCTTATCATAGAAGACCCTACCTTGTTAAATGATGCAATTTCAAAGGCAGTACATTGTGATAATAGGCTATTTGAATAAAACAAGAGCGTCCCAGAGATTCAGGATCAGGAAGACACCAAACCTCAGCACCTAGCAATCCAGCAAGCTCTGTCACGGAATCTATGCAAATTGATGCTGTACGATATAAGCTACTGTCCGTTGGAGAAAAGGAACGAAGACGTATGAATAAACTCTGTTTATACTGCGGCGAGCCTGGCCACATAGCTAAGTATTGTTTTAAAAAAACCAATTCACGGTCCAAAATCGATGCTGTCGTAGTCTCAGATGAGTTTTCGGGAAAAGGGGAGCCCCAGCTGTAGTAAGGGGGCTACGGTTGGATCAAGATATTAGCTTAAACCCCAAAATACTATCATCCTATTCGTCTAATGCTCTTACTTCTAAACTGAGTTTACACTTACTGGGTGGCTTCGAGGTTAAAATAGTAGCTTTAGTCGACTCTGGTGCCTCCGCTTGTTTTCTAGACACTACTTTCGCTCAAGAATATAACATACTCATTTACAAAAAAGAACTACCATTTTCAGTAGAAGTGATCGATAGTAGGAAAATCTCTTCTGGGAACGTTACTCATGAAACGAGACCCTTACTCGTATGCCTCAAAGACCACTATGAAAAAATGTCGTTCAATCTTATTTCATCACCCATTATCCAATAATCCTGGGCTTACCATGGCTTGACTTACATAATACTACAATTAACTGGCGTGAACGTTTCATAATCTATTCCGATCCAATGTATAAAGAGCACCACGCGAGCTCAAGGTCTTTAATGTCTAACCTTTAGCAGGAACAAATATTTGTAGTACAAGTTTTTACAGTCTCAGCATCGAACCCGTGCATTACTAGCACCCATACAGTCTCTGAAAAATACAAAGACTTCGACGATGTGTTCAACATAAAAGAAGCTGATAAATTACCTGGAAGCCGCCCATATGACTGTTCTATTGACTTGTTGCCTGACAAACAACCACCGTGGGGTCCTATATATAAATTGTCCACTCGAGAACTTGAAGTACTAAGGAAGTATATTAAAGAAAACCTGGAAAAGAGGTTTATTCGTCACTCTAAGTCCCCAGCTGGCGCACCTATCCTCTTCGTCAAAAAGAAGGATAGCTCATTGCATATGTGTGTTGATTATCGGGGCATAAACCAAATCACCATCAAGAACTACTACCCTCTTCTCCTAATACCAGAACTACTCAACAGGCTCACCAACACCCAGATCTTTACTAAAATTGATCTGAGAGGTGCCTATAATCTTGTCCATATCAGGCCAGGGGATGAGTAGAAAACAGCGTTCCGTACTCGATATGGACACTTCGAGTATATGGTGATGCCGTTTGGACTCACCAATGCCCTAGCTGTATTTCAACACTTAATGAATGATATCTTTCAAGACTTTCTAGATCGATTCATAATAATCTACTTAGATGATGTCTTGATATACTCACCTAACCCTGAAGAACACGTTTGGCACATGTGACTGGTATTGGAACGTTTACAACAACACGGCCTGTATGCAAAGCTAGAAAAATATGAATTTGATAAGGAATGTGTCAACTTTTTGGGTTACTATATTACGCCCGGGGGATCCAAATAGACCCCAGTAAAGTTGAAAGCCTTTTCTCATGGCCCACCCCAACATCCATTAAAGATGTGCAAAGGTTTCTAGAATTCGCTAACTACTATCAGCATTTTGTTAACAATTATGCTCGCATAGTCACCCCTCTTACAAATCTAACCCGAAAATCAAAAAAAACGGCCTCCTTCTGCTGGCCGGCGGCAGCTCAAGAAGCTTTCACCTTCCTGAAGGAAACTTTCACCTCAGCTCCAATTTTGATCCAAGCGGATCCTACAAAACCCTACTTCTTGGAAACAGATGCTTCTGATTATGCTTTAGGGGCAGTACTTTCACAGCACATGGAGGGAGTTCTGCATCTAGTTGCATATTACTCGCGAAAGTTTACGGCAGCAGAAATAAATTACGAAATATACGACAAGGAGTTACTCGCAATAGTAGCGGCCTTCAAACAATGGCGCCACTATTTGGAAGAAACACAGCACAAAATTATTATTTACTGCGATCATAAAAATTTAAAATACTTTACTACTGCAAGAAACCTTAACCATCAACAAGCCAGATGGTCCCTCCTCCTTTTAAACTATGATTTCGAGATTGTATTCCGGTCAGGTAAAGAGCAAGGAATGTTAGACGCCCTGTCACGACAACCTAACTATTGACCCCAAAAAGGTGACGAAGTGGTGAGCCAACAGCATACCACACTTTTGAAAGTTGGAAACCTCCACATTGATGTGATATTAGTGGCACCAATGGATACAACCTTGAGAAACCGTATCTGTAATCAAATCAAATCAGATCCCTAGCAATGAATATACTCAACCAACTTGTTAATTGTCTAGTAAACAGACAAAATCAACAAGGGGATTATCATAAGTTTCTGTACAAGGATGGGTTATTATTCAGAGAGGGCCTTTTTTATATACCAAAAACACAAGAAAGACTAAAGAAATTGAAATTAAGGCATGATTCAAAGTTGACGGGCTACTTTGGGGTTGCAAAAACAATAGAACTAGTCTCCTGAGACTATTGGTGGCCTAAGTTTCGAACCTTTATATGAAATTATATCAGATCCTGTGATATTTGCACAAGGTCGAAGATCTGTAGACATCGTCCGGATGGATTATTAACACCCCTACCCATACCAACGCAGCATTGGCAATCAATCTCTATGGATTTTATTACGGACTTACCACTTTTATCAGGACATGACGCAATACTTGTAGTAGTAGATCGGCTATCAAAAATGTCACATTTTATAGCTTGCTATAAAAGTATCAATGCGAAACAAACGGCCCAACTGATTTTTAAAGAGGTAATCTGTCTCCATGGTGTTCCAAAAGAAATTATCTCAGATAGAGGCCCCCAATTTGCCTCAAAATTCTGGAAACATTTGTTCTGGCTGTTGGGAACTAAAATTAATCTGTCATCTGCATACCACCCTCAGTCAGATGGCCAAAGCGAGAGAGTTAATCAGGTACTGGAACAATATCTAAGATGCACGATCAACTACCACCAAGACAACTGGGCAGACTTGCTTCTACTGGCAGAATTTGCGTGCAATAACTCAACCCACGCATCCACCAAAACCACCCATTCTTCGCCAATTATGGATTCCATCTACATTTTGACCTACATATACAGTTCCAGACTCCAGTCCCATTAGCTGAAGATAAAGCTATACAATTACAGCAAATCAAAGAATCCATCACTAGTAAGGTAAAGTTGCGCAAGAATGATATAAAGCAAATGCAGACCGAAGACGTGAGGAAGCCTCTAGGTTTAAAGTCGAGAACAAAGTATGGCTATTACACCGCAACATTCACACAGAATAACCTTCTGGAAAATTGAACTACAAAAACTAGGCCCTTATGTCATCTCTGAAAAGGTTAACCCAGTAGCATACCATTTGAACCTGCTACCTACATTCAAGATTCACAATACCTTTCATGTCTTCCTTCTAGAGCCTTACTTAGAAAACAAGATTATGGGTAGGGTAAAAGTACCACCTACACACGTAACTGTTGAAGTGGAAAGTGAGTACGTAGTTAGTAAATTCTCGACTCTAAGAAAATTAGGAATAAACTACATTACCTGGTGGATTGGAAAGGCTACAACCCGAGTGAATGATCATATGAACCTGTTGAGAATGTAAGGAATACCCAAGAAGCTGTAGATATCTTCTACTGCCAGTATCTAGATAAACCTGGGCCTTCAATAAAAGAAAAAAGGCGGAGCGGCAAGGAAGTAAGGAAGAGTCCTGAGGAGGGGATGGTATAACAGCCTAACCTGTGATTCAACCACCCGTGACCCATCTCCCTGTAACAAGTTACCTGTAAATCATGATGCAAGCCCGTGACCAAGTTTCAACCCATGGAAAGTAATAATTAGTTATTAGTATATGCATGAACTATGTAGTTATCAAATAGTTAACATTAGTAATATTAGTACGAATGCACATGAACTATGTAGTCATTGATTAATATTACCATGCGCATGAATTATGTAGTCATATCAATTAGTTAGTAAATTAGTATGCGCATAAACTATGTAGTCATCGAATAGTTAGTAATAGAAGTATCAATGAACCAAGGTATAAAAGCCGTAACAAACCTTTACTGTACAAATCAGTCTGTTTAACGTAAATAAACTATTTGTTTTGCTTAAGCTTCCTGTCCTGGCCTCGCCATTATACCCAGGGCCCCAAGACAACTACTGTATTATTATTAGTCTACAATAATAAAATATTTTTAATACACTAATATAATACTGATATTTGCATTTTTTAAAAAAACTTACTATTACTAATTGCCTTCATTCTTTAATTAATAAATATCATAACATACAAACTGATTCATCTGTATTCATGGCTTTCTTAATATGATGGGTATTAAAAATTGCTTAACAATCTCATCAACTTTTCTAAAAAACTAATATTCAAAGATAGCAGCCCTACTGTTAGCAATATACTGTGCTTAATTTTGAAATTTTTAAATCGTTCTTCATTTTTAATACAACAATTAATATTGATTGACAAATCATACAACAAAGTAGAGTGATCAACTTTATTATAAATTTGTTTATTAATCAACTTTACTCTTTGTGTATTCTGAACACTGGCCGTAAATTGGTTCTATACCTATAGTATACTCCAAGACTCTTTATGAGTATATAATACTTCTGATAAGTACTTAGCTAATGCAAGATATTGATTGATCAACTGAAGCCATTGAGCTTCGAATAGTTTATTACATAACAAATTTCAACAAGTATAAAATTTGTATTAAAATTCTTCAAAGTTAGACTCTAGTTTATCCTAAAGCTTCTTATAAAGATTCATATCAATATAAAAAATACATAAAAAATGACTAGTATTAAAATAGATTTTATTAACTGCACTAATAATAGCCAGATCAGAATCACTAAATACTTTTTTTTTTTTTGATATTATTGACAGTCTTGCCATATTTTTATTAGATCAAAGCATATATATGTGTACATATAATTAACTATCTAAGCTACAGATCCAACATCTTTCAGCTGCCCTAAAGAGTGCCCAAGAGCAGTCTGTCTCACCAGTTAAGGCTTTTGTCTGTACCGGAGGGCTATACCAAGCTAGCTATTAAAGCCATACCAGAATAGCTTTATTTTATTTATACAAAAGTTTTTAAATGAGACTAACCAAGATTTTTTCTTTTTGTTTTTTTCCTCCTCTTTAATTTTTCTTATTTCTTTCTTTTTAACTTTTCTACTGGTTTGATCTTGGTTTATGACATAATCCCTTGTAGATTCGCATGTCTGTCCTGTGCTGAGAATTAGGCTTTCCAATTTTGGCTTTTTTCTTCTCTTGTACTTCTTGCCAATTCCTTCTATCTTTTTATATTCGTTAATCTCTATGCATCTTCGCTTCAATATATTCTCATAAAAGAAATTCTATACCAGATTTATTGCAGTTTTCAGGTAATTCTTCACATCTTTTAGAAGTTTTATGATGCTAAGAATCTTTCTAAGAGTCTTCTCTTGAACTAGACCCTTAAGGATACTGACTCTTGTTCTATTTTTTTCTTCTTCTGACGG